GTAATAGCTTTGCTACAGACTGTTCGAAGTTGATGAAGATGGTGTCTACACCCGAAGAATGGCCAGCATTAGCTCTACATTTGGAGGAGATTGTGAGAATGAAGGACGGATTCATTTTTTTTCTTCTGTATATCATATATCTCACGCGCAAAGAATTCAAAGGCAGACAACCTAGCAAGAAGTGCTCGTGTCTACCCTCAAGACGTTATTTATGTAAACTCGATACCACCGGTTTGGTTAGTCGAACCATTCTAGGTACTTAGGCTGTCAACAAAATAGAAAAACAATTATCGAAATTTTAATTTTTTTGGTATATAACTGTACATAATACCAAAAAAATTATGTAGAGATGAAAACAATTTGGAATTAATTCATTATCTTAAAACTAAATAGAAAAACTAAGAATATTTTTGGAGAGACTTCATCAAACTAATCTTATCATTTGTGTTATTGAGAAAACTAACCTCGAACAAGTCTATCTTACTCAACTAACTTTAGAAAGTTAGTCAATTTTTATTTTATCCAAATGTTTTCCATTATCATATAATAAAACTGTTATTCTGTTATTAAAATTTTATTTTATTTAAATGTACAAAATTAAGAGAAAATATCTTTCTTTTTTTAAATTCTTAGTTGGTTAATGGAAAAAGTTAACCATTGTTCTTGAGAGAGGCGATATTGGTGGCGATTTTAAAGACTTTCGATTCCAATCTTATTATGTGATGATTTAGGTGTCGAGTGAGCGTTTCCGGTAAGTTTCTTTATCCTCTGCCTTCGTCTCACTTTCCCTTTTTCCGAAAAATTTATGGGAGGGTTAGCCAAGCTGTATCTGGACACACGTCTTCAGTCACTAAGACCGTGTTTTCTCCCTTAGTAAAATCTCAGGATTTTCAAACCGCCACCAATACAATTAAATCCAGCTTATATCTGACTAACCTGCAAAAAAAAGAAGTAGGAGGGAGTAAGTAATTTGGATTATCTAGTGAGAATTAACCCAAAAGTCTCATGACATCTGTCAAGTCTATGACTAAACCAACCTGCAAGCAACCTAGATACCACTAACATGTATTAATCAACTAGGTGGGTACCCGCGCCATAGGCGGGTTTGCGAGGGCCATGAAGTTGATTACTTATTTTTTATAATGTTAAAACGCTTATGTATTATATTAAATTTTTAATTTTCTAAGAGCATTCATAGTTATTATAACATGTATCATATTAAATTCATAAATTGTTTTAGTTGGATAATTGTATTTTTGAAAAAACTCATTAATTCGTTATGCGCAAACATCATTATTGTTTTGTACTTTATTTTCTTATGTTTAATAAAAGTGTTGATTCTCGACAATGAGGGCAATCATTAATAGTAATAGAAAAAGAGTATTAATTCGGATGCATAAGTAAACTAAAGTGTCATTTAATAAACGATTAAATAAACCATTTAAATAATAAAAATCTAAACCTAAAAAAAAATAAACTATTGTTTCCTTACATTCTGAAAAACGCCCTTGTATACAACGTTCAAAGTTTTGGGGCTTACCCATTGTATCCGTTATCCGAATCTTCAAACCAGCTCTTGAAGTAACACGTGATATAGCCACATAAAGTTCTCCATGGGAAAATACTAATTTTGGTAAATATAAGCCAACATTTTGCAAAGTCTGTCCTTGACTTTTATTGATAGTCATTGCATAGGTGATAGCTACCGGAAATTGTCTACGCCTTATTCTAAAAGGAAACCTTGTCTCGGAGGGGAAACAAACATTCGTGGGATCAAGACCTTTTGACCAATATATTCTCTAGTTATGTGGCTAGCTTGAATAACATATTTGGCCAACTGTGTTACCAAGAGTCTTGTTCCATTGCATAAACCACCTCTAAGGTCAATATTCCAAAGCAACATAATAGGTGTCCCTATTTTCAATTTTAATTCATGGTTCGGCAATCCTGAAATTTTAATACTATTAAGATATTCTCGTGTGTAGACGTTTTCGTCAATCTTGCCCTTATCAGAAGTATCAATGCTGTCTGAGCTAAAATATGTATGTTCCTCATCTAGAAAAAGGTTTTACGAAGTTCACTTGATCATGTTATGAAGCTCATGTGTAAGATCGTATGTATAAAGCGTTAAATATGTTTACCTTGTATTTCCGACAAATCCCACGTCTGCATTTATCAGGCTGAGAATTGCACTGTCTTGAAAAAATTTTGGGTCTCTTTCCGATCTGTATGAATCACGATACACTTCTCTTACTATCTTTTTAACTGGATCAGCACATTCTTTTATCAGTAAATTGTCAGGGATCTCAATTTCGGCTTCATCGTTGTCAGTCGAAATAATTTTGCCGTCTCCTACATCCAAAATCCACTTTGAAAAGGCCTCTAGCTCATTAACACGATCTCGTCCAACACCATTTTGAAGCCTCATATTCTTGGTTAGTTCTAAAACCGTACAATTGTCCCATAAAATAGAAGAATTTATGGTAGCCATAAGAGTTTGGGTGTTATTGCTTCCTACAATAACATGCAATATTTGCCTGAAATCTCCTCCAAAATCATCAATTTTGAGTATATCACGCATACTTCTATCCAGAGTCTCAAAACAATATTTACTCATCATAGGAGTCTCGTCCCATATAATTAGATTTGTTTCTCTTATCAAATCAGCCTGAGGTGAATTGCTATTTACTGAGCACATTGTTGTTGAATTAACAGCAATTGGGATGTCAAATCGTGAATGTGCAGTTCGGCCTCCCTGTAACAGCAATGATGCTATCCCGCTCAACATTAAGAACGATCATGTCTTTAGATCTAAGAGCAGCACCAAGAATACTCCATAAAAAAGTCTTACACGTTCCGCAAAACCATATACGAAAAACATATCACCAGTATTGTTGTTCACTGCTCCAATAATTTGATCATATAAACTTTTTTGTTCATCAGTGATGGTTTTCAACATTTCTCTATGTGTTGCACGTAACTTCTCACGATCATAACTTTTTTCTTTGAGAATCAGAGGATTCTTGTCTTTTTTGAATGAAATATTATCTGGGCGAGGCATTGTTTCATAATTCTTCAAAATGCTACCATTTCGACGCATATATTTTTCTATTTTAAACAATGAGTGACTCTTCAACTACATATCAGACATAATCAAATCTGTAAGGGAAAAAAAATTATTAATCTATTAAAATATGAGTAATCATTTATAGAAATATATGAAAGATGTTTAGGAAATGTAATTTGATTCTTTTGTTTTTTATATATTGTATAAGATATTATCATTAAGATATTCCCACGTTGAATTCCAAAGATTTTGAGATGTAGTGACTGAATTAGAAGCCAGAATAATAGCAAATAATCGGCTGCAAAAATTTTCCAGATGCCCACAAACTTGCTTTTTAATAGCCGAATGGAGAACTATGAAGAAGAATATTACCGGCAATACTGGATAGTATCTAAAAGAGATAGCAACGATTTTTTTTTTATGTATAAATTACTTATTTTTATTTTAACATTTGTTATTCATCTAGTTTATAGATAACAATGAAGAAGGAATTTCACTTTTTAAAATTTGCCAATTTCGAAGAAATTTTGATTTATTCAAGAATATATAAACTTATAAATGAATAGACAAAACCAAAACAAGAAATACTTTGCGATGTAATTATGGTAAATTAGAAACCATCTTGGATCGCACAGGCGATGTATTTTATTAGTAAGCAGTTCACATTTTTATTATGGTAAAATACTTTGCGATGTAATTATGGTAAATTAATATAAGAGTAAAAATGTGAAAAAGTAACAAATAAATTAATGGATCGTAAACCACTAACATCCTTAAAGTATGAATAAAACCAAAAAAGCAAAGAAAGTAACAAAGGTAAAACTAAACACGGAACACTCATGGTTTTCCTTAATTCCTTAATTCAGCCTTGTCCGGAACCACCAATAAGTCTCTGGTTTTTTTATCTGTTTGCATCCTACGTCGTTTTGAATAGAAAGTTAAGTTGACAAATGAATTTAAGATAATAATAGTAAAACTGTTATTTTTAAAAAAATGTTTTTACCTGTCCTTGAATTCTTCGACTTCAGTTACATTGGGATTTAATACAATCAATGTAGGATCAACAGATGAAATGGTAATTTTTCCTAATGAGTCAGCCAAGATAAATATTTTATAATACCAAATACACTAAATACATGATAAAGCCGATATTCATACTTCTTTAAAACTATATACCTCCAAGGAAATCAATGATGCCCCATCTAATAATGCATATGATTACATCCTCAGTACAAGCTCGCCAATCATTATAGAACTTTAAAGCCCTAAGGCCAATGAGTTTACAGCAGAGCCGAACATGCCTGTATAATAGAATATAAAGTAATCTTTAGCTAACCATCTTTGAAAGTGATGACGAATTTCCATAGTAGAAATCAGGTTATACAAACCTTAAGTTCTCCAATTCGAAAGTGGTAGTCTGATATTTGCTATTATTTCCCTTTTCTGCAAGCTCAACCAATATATGACCTTCTCAGTAATGGAACTTACCAATGTTTACAACACACCAATCAGCTCTACAAAAAAACCAGAAATGTTATTACTAAATAAGAAATTATAAAAGTAATAACAAAAATTTAGCATATTTATATTTACTAACCCACTAAAAAGTTGTGGCTATATGTACGATCCAAGATGGTTTGGAAATCCACAAATTCAAAATATTTCTTCCACATGGGAGTTTCACTACGAAAAGAATGTATTATTATTTTACAGTGATTTGATGTTGTTCTAAAGGCTCCACCTACGGAAACAACCTGAAAACGATGGATCTGAACCCAGTTTTCCTCGTTAAAACGATCCTTAAATAAGTCATAAAATACTTTATGAACAGTGCATGTATCTTTTCACCCTGGCAATTTTATTTTAGTAAATTGTAAATTAGGCAAATGTGAAGTTAATACAATTTTGAACTCAGGCTATAAAGAGAATAAACCTTCTCATCACATAGCACAGCCTTCAATAGACTACCAGATGGTTCCAAGCATTCCGACCATAGACGCAAAACCTTAACTGAAATCTCTGATTCACACATTCCGAACATCAAACGTTTGACAATTGGATTTGAATAGACTACGACGGGTGCATCTCTTTTTAGACTGAACTTTAACAAAGATATTGTCGACAAGTTCGGTGGATGTTTCTGAATTATCAGAATTGACGGTGTAAATAGGTGTGGAAATAGAAATTTTATCTGAAGATGGTCTGTCATCACCAACACGTTCAAAATTAAGACAACTGTCATTGATCTCTGTACAATAATCATGATCAACAACATCATCTTCTTCGTGATCAATATCATCTTCTTCGTGATCAGTATCTTCATCTTCTTCACCATCGCCTGCAAAAACGACCATGTGATGCATTTTCATTAAGAGGATAATTTTTTTTTGTATCATCAGCTTAGTCAGCATCCGATTGACATTGTTGCTAATTAACAGGTGCAACATAAGTGTCATTATCAAGGTCCGAGCGTAGAATAAACAAAATTGAATTGTTTTTGAGAACTACAACAATAATTAGAATTGCATAACAAATGTAAGAATATAAATTACCATCAATGTCAACCACACCACGTGGGACCACCCACCAACCCGATTGAATTTCCCGATCATGACCAGCCGATGTATGTGAATATAATACTCCATATCTGTAGATCTAGATCCGGGTTCTATTGGAGTATTTCTCTTTCGTAAGACACATGATATAATTGGCGAATCACCAGGTTTAAGAAAAAAACTATGAATACAGAGATTAACATCTCCTTATGAACAATAAAATATAAAAGACGCTTATGAACAAAATTAAGAAGACAAAATTGGCGTAAGAAAACGATGAGTTATAAAAGACGCTTATCAAAAACAATTAAGAAGAGGAAATATATCTAAGAGAACGGTGAGTCTAGTTGTTGTACATGAAAAACATATGTAGACAATAATGATATATATAGTGTAAGATAGATGCTTTAGAGTTTAGGGTTTCTTTGTTGGTGGTCTATTTAACAGATTTGGTGGTTATGACCGAGAATAAAACCGCTGGCCCGTAATCGATAAAAAAGCCATATCACACATATTGACACGTAAGATTAATGATCATTTTATCAGAATTAAAGAAAATAACACATATATAAATTTTAATAAGACACATAAGCAAATCGCTCTGGAGACGACATATAGGATTTTTGACTTCACAAATAATAGTATAGATGAGAGGCCATATAGTGGCAATCTTGGATAGATATCCTCAGTGGAGAGCACACATAACCTGTGCTCTATCCAGTGGCAACCACACTGATACTGCTAGAGTTAGAGGTCGCAGATAAATTCAAATTTATAAACCCTAGTTTTCCAAGTGCACACCTGTACGGTGTAGTACTTGGGGTATTGATCCATAGAGAAGTGTCTTTTCTACAAAAACTTCAAACTGGGATCAGTAAACGGATTAAAAGACTCTGTGATTTTTATAGGTTTTTCCTTAGTGTCACAGAAAAGTAAAAATAAAATAAAAATTGAAAAATAACTAGACCTAATCGATATGGGCTAACAAAATAAAAGAAAAGTGGGCTGGCAAAGATATCTCAGGGGATGTTCGATTCATGTTAGGGTTCTAAGCTCTAAAGGTGATTAGATTACTGTCATATGTCTTAATCGGTTTCTAGGTATGTACATGGAACTAGAATAGACACTGATATGGTTAGCATACTGTCGTATGTCCTTACCAACTAATCACTCAAACTCGACCAGTAGCTTTCATCTCAGGCCGCGAGAGAGATTATGCACTAACTAAACTGAATTCATTCTTTCTCACATCTTCTCTGTAGGTAACTTTCGTCTCCTTCAACGACTATGTTCTTCTGAATCTATGTATGACAATCTGATATACCATTGTCATGGCTCTGATTAAACCTAGGTTCAGAGATTGGTTCATGACACTAACCTCATGCATTAAAAACAACTTGGCAAAGAAAACAGCAATCCTAATCGAACATTAGATCTCCTTTGATGGATCCTTTAAACCCAACTACTAATCTACTCTAACATGATAGATGAATGTATAAACTGAATAGATAGATAAAAAAAAAAAATACAAGGGTTCAAGAGAAATTTTTTTATCTCCTGAACCAAAACCTAAGAAACAAAAATTTGGTGGCTCAAAAACTCACTACTTGAGCACACACCCGAAATAGGGTTTCTAAGACATGTTTCTGAGACATGTATTGAGCACACACCCGAAGAGACTTTCAAAATGGGCTTGAGGGCCGAGAAGGGCTTGCCGCGGGTGAGAATCCTCTGGGACCGGTAAAACAGAGTTCCACCGCGGGTGAGATGCCTGAGGTGCAGCCAGAGATGGTTTTCCTGCGTGTCAACTGAATGTCAGAATGGTTGACAGGTCATCTTTATCTTCGTATATCTTTTGATTGAACCGTTGGATTATCCTCAAGTGCAATGGAAATTCAGTTCGCTCCTATTGGACGTGTCCAAATTTTACTTGGATCAGATGGTGAAAAGGTCTTGATTTTAGACTGAACTTCTAACGGTTTGATGTTGAGCTAAAAATGTGGTTTTTCTTCATTTTGCAATGTTTTTGTCTAAGTAACCTATTGCAACTGCAAATATAGGAAACCATAATAAAAACGCTTAGAATTAATTAAAACTCTTGAAATAATATAAAAATTTCTTAATGAAAATGGGTAAAAGTACGGTGTTATCACACACTAGGTGTCGGCCAGAAGTAGCCCCTACGCGGTCTATTCTGAAGATGTATGGGCTCGTCTAGCCCTCGACGAGGACTATGGTACCTGACAAAGGCTTTACCACTAGTCAACCACAACAACAGATATGATGTCAGACTCGAGTATTGTATCCTAATTCTTTTTTCCATATTAATCCTCAAACATCACTCAAAACCAAATTTTAAACCCTATCATTTTTTACCATTCATTCATCTAAGTGTCATCACCATACAAGTCCTATTTATTACATATCATAAAAAAGTATTTTACTGTGAAGCCTTTATTTATTAATGTCCATTTCAAAGATTGATATGATCATGACCAGAAACAAGAAAGAAGATCTTGCACCAGAACACTGAACCAGAGCTTATACCAGTGGATGAGCTAGAGAATGTAGCATTGTTTGATCCAGATGGTACTAAGACCCGAGTTAATGCCGAGAAGCTCAAGGAAACAAATGGAAGTATACTTTTTCAAAACTATAGTTGGCCAAGACACTTGATCAGAAGGAAGAAGAAGTGATTACAACTACTCTAGTTGTAAAAGAAGTCCAAGAAGATCAACAAATGGCTAAGTGTCTCAGTTGTACTCTTTTTCCCTTACCTTTGGTTTTGTCCCAATAGGTTTTCCAACGAAAGATTTTTAAGGATGCAATGGTGATCACTTCTATACAGGCTCAGTTTGTTGATTCAAGAAGCCCAGCCAGAAGAACAAGAAAATTTTGTCCAAAGGAAGCCTAAAGGTCATGGCAAGTGGAGATGAAGAGTTATACAACCTTAGTCATTATTTCTAGTCTTTTCACTTTAATACTTTAAGAATTTCGTGTTTTGCTTTGTTTTTAGCACTTTTATTTCTTTATAAACTCATGTAAGAACTCATGAATAATCATCCTGGATTGGATCATCAAAATTAATCAATAAAACTCTTTTCTCTTATCAAAACTTGAAGAAACTTATCTTTGTTTCTTGAGAGTGATTTGCTGCTTTGTGGAATATTTTTATCATTTCTCATCTATCTCTGAAAGTGATTTGTTTCCTTGTTCAACATCTTTATCATCTCTTATCTCTCTTTTAAGATTGATTCATTGCTTAGCAACATCTTTATCGATTCATCTCTCAGAACAGAAGTCTATTCCTCACCTTCTGTTTCTATTCTATCTCTCTCACAAGCATCTTTGTGCCGATCCTTGGGAGGATCAAATCAATTGGTATCAGAGCACATATTAAAGCTTGGGTAATATCTTTCCATCTCATCATCTATTCGAATCTGTTCATCAAGTTTTCACTTGTGTATTGTGTCTGTTTATCTCCTTATTGGTGTCGATTCTATTTTAGTTTCTATCTGCGTCTATGCATATATATATCAGTGTGTTTTGGTGTTAGAATCTGGCTGATCTTCATCTGTTCACTTTTGCCTTTTCATCTTCTCTCATCAGACCTGTTCACAGAGTTGTCTTTTCAAATTCGGATCTGTCTTTTAGATCGATCGCTAGGGTTTATGTTTGATAGTTCCGTGTGTTACACGAAGAATCATATTTGGAACCTGATCGGTTGTGAAAGCAAGATACTGGTGATCTTTTTGTGTGTTTGCTAAAGGTCGAAGATGGATGATCATCAAGATGAAACCAGCAGCAGCAACGATAACAACAAACTCCTGATGGAAGCATTGGCTGCTCGGTTGGAGCAGATGATGAAAACTCAACTAGAAGAGATACATCAGCGAATCGATCAAATATAAGGAGAGCCTAATCCAAGGAGAATTCAAGAAGGAAATGCAAATGGAGTGCTAGTCCAGTAGAGACAGCCTAGAAACGATGTTATTGATGATATTTCTTCACAAGGCAGTCCAAGACGTGGGAGAGGAGCAAGGGAACGTGTTCATGATGACATGAGGGTCATGAAATTGAAATTTTCTCCTTTTTACGGCAAGAATGATCCAGACGCTTACCTTGAATGGGAGAAAAAGATCAAGATTATCTATGATTGTCAAGAGTATTCAGATCTCAAGATGGTGAAGCTAGCTGCTACAGAGTCTTATGGCTAGGCTATAAACTGGTGGGATCAGATCACAACAAGCCGCAAATGCAATAGAGATCTGCCTGTTGATACTTGGGATGAGTTGAAAGCACTCATGAGGAAACTCTTTGTCCCTAGTCACTATCACTGGGAGCTACACCAGAAACTAAGGCGCTTGACACAAGGAAACAGCAGTGTAGAAGATTATTTTCAGGAAATGGAATCTCTGATGATCAAGGCTGGTATTGAAGAAGATGAAGAAGCAACCATTGCTAGGTTTTTGAGTGGGTTAAACCAAGGAGTTCAAGACAGAGTGGAGATGCAAAGCTATGCTGATTTAGAGGAGATATATCATAAAGCCATTCTGGTCGAACAACAGCTCAAGCGGAGAGAGGATCTCGATCAACTTTTAAAGCTGGTTCATCTACGGCTAGACCAAGCTTTGCTATTGAAGAAAAACCAAGTGCTGAGCCTGCGGTGTCTACTAAATCAGTTCCTGCTAAACTAGACTCCAAGGTCAAAATCGAAAACATCCACTACGAGCTCATGAGATAGTGTGCTTCAAGTGTCAGGGAAGAGGACATATTGCTAGTGAATGCCCTAACAAGAGAATTCTGAC